CACTGGGCCGCCTGCAGCGGAGTGGAACACTTAACCACTCGGCCACGGGGCCAGCCCCAAGGTTCTGGATATATTTTAAAGGGTAATGGATATAACCTGCCAATGACTAAGATACAGAGGTTGAAAGAGAGAGATCAAGGATGACACTAAGATTTTTTTACCTGTGCAACTAGAAGACGGAGCTAATATTTACAGGGATGTGGAAGTCTGGGAGGAGAAGTCCTCGGAAAGGGGTGGGAACTCAGACCTTGAAGTTTGGACGTATAAAATTTGACATCTTTATAAAATATCCAAGTTAAATTGTTGACTACACAGCTGCTATTTGTCTGGAACACAGAATGAAGGTCTGGTCTATATGTACACTCATTAGTATAATGATGCTATTTAAAACCATGAGAATAAATACTATTACCTGAGGAATTACTGAGGATAAGAAAAAGAAGAAATTCGAAGACTGAGTGCTAAAACACCCAAAGCTTGAGGAAATGGAGTAGAACTAGCAAATAAGACTCCATGAAGCAGAAAGAGAACTAAGTAAACAGTACCTAGGAAGAAGAACGTGTTTCAAGACAGAGAGTGACTGATCTAATGCTGATGTTACATAAGCTGAGGATTGATTTGACCCCTCTTAAAGATGGAGATCTCTGGAGGCACTATCAAATGGTGATTTGGGGTGTGAGGGGCAGAGGCCTGTTTGGATCAGGTATAGGTGATAAATAGGAAGATAGATAGTGAAGACAATGAAAATAAACACCTTCTTTATGTCTTAAATTCTATTTTGTAGTACCAACACCAGTTCTTTTTATTAGTATCACTATTTTATGCATTTCCCATCCTTTTGTCTTTCAATTTTTCTGTATACTTATGACATACAAACAGCACAGAGCTGAATTTTCTTTAAATTCAATCCATAATTGTCTTTCAAACTGAAAGTTAATCTATTCAATATTTTTTATCATAGCAATATATTGGACTAATTTCTATCTTAATTTTTGCTTAATTATATTTTTTCTGTTCATATTTTTTAAAATTGGAGATTATAGCACACAAAGATTAATAAATGTATACATAAATTTAAAAATAGAGTTGATTCAGAAACTAAAATGAGAACAAGAAATTAAGTATGGGAAAAATTTAAGCTTTCCAAAAACGCTGTATTCAAAAACATCTTTGGGGAAGTATATGAGACTTTACTTAAAAAGCTTAATCACTTACAACCTTGGAAGGCAAAGTTTTAAAGAAACATATAGTTGATACCCACATACCCACCAACTAGACCAATACATAAATTTCAGATGCAAGCAAACCCATGTGCTGACTTTTCAAATGGGATTCCCTTCTTCTCTCAGGAGTAAACCATTGTGTTAAATTTTTGTATGAACAATTCCCCTTGCTCTTCATGGTTCCTATGTGCTATGCATAAATCCATGAATTTTATATTTTACATGATGGCATTACTGAGTGAACTCATTTGTATCTAGCTTATTTTATATGTCCACTATGCTTTTTTTGTTTGTTGTTTTTTTTGAGGAAGGTTAGCCCTGAGCTAACATCTGTCACCAATCCTCCTCTTTCTGCTGAAGAAGATTGGCCCTGAGCTAACATCTGTGCCCATCTTCCTGTACTTTATATGTGGGATGCCTGCCACAGCATGGCTTGATAAGCAGTATATAGGTCTGCACCTGGGAGCCGAATGGGTGAACCCTGGGCTGCCAAAGCAGAAGAACTTAACTGCTGCACCACCGGGCTGGCCCCAACATCCAATATTCTTTTTTTTTTTTTGAGGAAGATTAGCCCTGAGCTAACTACTGCCAATCCTCCTCTTTTTGCTGAGGAAGACTGGCCCTGAGCTAACATCCATACACACCTTCCTCCACTTTTTATACATGGGATGCCTACCATACCGTGGCTTTTGCCAAGCGGTGCCATGTCTACACCCAGGATCCAAACCGGTGAACCCTGGGCCGCCGAGAAGTGGAACATGTGAACTTAACTGCTGTGCCACTGGGCTGGCCCCCCAATATTCTTAAGATTAACCCATTTTGTCATACGTAGCTATAGTTCTTTCATTTTTCCACTGCTGTACATTTTTCCCCTATGTGAATATACCACATTTTATAATATATTCTACTTTAAATGGGCATTTCGTTTAGTTTTCATTTGTTTTTCCTATTATGAACAATGTTACTATAAATGTTCTTTTGTAAACATTTGCAAAAGCAGCTCCTGAAGTGAACTGTTGCATCATAATACGGTATGTCATTGTGGTTTTAATTGGCAAATCTCAGCAAAAAGGATAGCATCTTTTCATATTTACCAGCCATTTGGTTTTCCTCTACGTGAAGTTCCAGTTCATGTTTTGTTTACCACTTTTGCTAGATGTTAATCATTTTTCACATTAATTTTTAAGGTTTTAGATTTTTATGATACTAATTCTCTGTTACTTTTATGCATTGCATAATTCATCTCGATTTGGGACTTTCTATCTATGATGCGCTGAGGAGCATAAATTATCAATTTTAATGTACCCAAATTAAACAAGACAAAAAAATCCTGTAATTAGACTGAACAGCCTTAATGGAATATCCTAAGAACTTAAGAAAAACTTTAAAAAGTATAAGGTTTTAAAAAAGTTTAAAGTTTAAAAGCTTAAAGAACTTTAAAAGAAGTAACTTTCTTTCAATATTCATAGTAATATTATTATTTAATATTACTGTTATTCTGAAACTATTATATCATAAGATAAACAAATAATTCTGTTGCTCTGGTTAGGAACAAAGTTTTTTTTCATGTAAGTAAAAGGCATGTAAAAGTACAATCAAAGAAATCAAAATTAAAACCTTTAACCCTAAATTTGAACAAAATATCAATGTGAAGTCAAAATGTATTTTTTCTTAAAAAATTTCCAAGCTCTTTCAATTGAAAATTCCTAGAAACAATGACCAATTCAGTAGCAACTGGAGTACCGACAAAGTTTAACATCGTGCCAGCTGGCAAACAAGAAAGTTACCAGTCCAACTCCATTGTCACAGAACAAAGCAATGAAAGGTGGATTTGGAGATAAAAGTCAATAAAATGATAACTGGCACAAGTATCAACAAGAATAATAACTAAAACAGAATGAAATCCATTTAATGTATTTGTGAGATAATGATAATTTAAACACAAACAAGAAAACCACACCTCATTGGTCACCAATGAAGGATGTTAGGGAACCAGCTCATTACTTTGAAAACTGGTAAACAAAGGAAAAAAATTGAGCATTTATTCCCTCTCCTATAAGAACTCTATCTCAAGGTAAACAAATAGTCAATTAAGGCAAATTCTCTTTATGGAGGTATTCTATTGATTAAACTAAAAGGCAATAATAAAAATAGAACTATCACCATTTTGCAACCCCTAGTGAAATAAAAGCTCCAAGCAATTATTACCAATGGCAACTAACACCACAAAAAGAGAGACAATAGAGCATTACACGCCTCCTGGTAGAAGTATTCAATACTACATATGACATATTCTTGTAAAAATTTGACCTCTATCTGATCAAGCCTCTGTATCAAAATAACGGTTATAAGAAAACTCAGGATCAGAAAACAGATTGAATGAAACCATTGGGATGAAATCAGCAAAATTCAGAACATGAGAAATTCTACAAGACAAACAACCCAGTTCCTTCAACAATAAACTGCAAGAGAAAAAAATAGTATGAACCTACAAAGAGACATATCAACCTATTATAATGTTTGGAACTTACATGAATCCTGATTTTTTTTTTTAAGTAATGAATGAGGAAATTTGAACACTAACTAGATATTTGATATTAAAGAATTACTGTTCATTTTAGATGTGACAATGGTACTCTGTTATTTATGTGTTAAAAGAGGTAATCCGCATCTATTTAAAGACATATACAAAAATAATTATTGACAGGGTCAGCCCAGTGGTGCAGCGGTTAAGTTCGCTTGTTCTGTTTCAGTGGCCAGGGGTTTGCTGGTTTGGATGTGGGGTGCAGACATGGCACTGCTTGGCAAGCCATGCTGTAGTAGGCATCCCACATATAAAGTAGAGGAAGATGAGTGTGGATGTTAGCTCTGGGCCAGTCTTCCTCAGCAAAAAAGAGGAGGATTGGCAGGAGATGTTAGCTCAGGGCTAATCTTCCTCAAAAAAATAATTAAATTAAATTAAAAATTAAAAAAAATATATTTAGGGATGAAAAAATATAAATAACATGATTGGGAGTTTGCTTCAAAATAATCCAGTGGGATGTAAAGAGAATGAGTGGAGTGGATATGAAAAACAAAATTGGCTATCAGATGATTAAGTAGCTAATGGGTAGTAATGGGTACATGGGGGTTTCATTATACAATTTGTTCTATTTTTGTATGTTTGAAGTTTTCCAAATTAAAAGTTTTTCTTTAACCTGCCTTCAGGAAAGACTATTACAAAATCAGTTACACTTGCCTGAAAATATCAGATTCAATTTAGGAATCTCCCAAATGTACTTACATTTTCATACAAAGCTAAGGCCTTAAAAGAATGATGCTAGTGGTGTATTTTAAGGCATCAGCAAGTCAGTAAAAAATTTTCTTCATTTTGAGAAGAGAAACACTCCCGGTAATTTCAAAATCAAATGAGACACATAAAGAACCAACCAATTCTGCCTACTTTTAAGTAAGTGTCCAGGTTTGAGCATGATCTGGTGTTTTAATAGACGACTCCTAGGTCACCTCTGTGATTACCTGCCTATTCACCAAGAGCAGGGTGGGATTCAAAAGTTGTCCATATACTGCAAGGCTGTCCTACCAAATTTACAATCTATTTTTAAGTCTCAAAAATGTTTTGAAGTTCACCAAAGGATAAGTAAAAGTTGACTTTTAAAATTCTAGTCTTTTACCAGATACCTAAATGTTTCCCACAAATAAAAAAGGAGCAAACTTTAAAAACAATTTAGAACTGCTTCAATACTATTCAGACACTTACACAAAAGCAGATTTACATACCTTGCCTGGACTGTGAAGGTGCTACAGGAACTTCTCGGTTTGGCTCAAAAGGAAGTTCAGGTGTTAGGTTTTCAAACTGCTCTTTACTAATGAGATTTAGCTTCTTAAAGTTCTCAACTTCTTGCTGAAGTAGAATGGAGGAATCTAATTACTAAACTGGCTAATAGAGCAACCAACAGACAATAATTGATACCAACCTCAAAAAATGAGTTTTTAAAACAAGGGTTAATTGCAACAGAATGAAAAAGATGTTCTAATAAAAAATCTAGTATTATACTTAATAACAATATTCAGGGTCTAAAAGAGGCACAGAGAACCCTGAAATATTATGAATATTTTATAAATAAAATACATTATAAGAGCATACATTCTAATCATTAATTATTTGTTGAGCATTTATACACAAGGTCACTAGGCTAGGGTATTACAGTTACAGAGTAATCTAATACATGTCCTCTACCCTTAAGGAATTTACAAGTTAGATGGAAAGAAAGAAATGTAGATATAAAAACTAATAATACTATATGAAAAGTGATAATATTTGGTGTAAGAATTGAGATCATCAGGGAGGCATTACAGAAGAGGCAGGACAAAAGCAGCTCTTGAAGGACAATTTAGAGCAGGGAAAAGCATTCTAAATTAGGTAATGTCAGCAAAGATGAGAAGCTTGGAATAAGCAATCATTTACTAGGAAATAATTCCATAAATGAGAAAATTTGTGTAGAACTAGTAGCAAAAAGGACTGATAAAGAAGTTAGAGAAAACTACTAAAAGACCTTTAATACTGGACCAAAAAGTTTTCACTTCATTTTATGCAAAGGGAAATGCGATGAAAAATACATCTAGATGGGCTTGGAGGTTCATTTCCAAAGCCCTTTTATAAGCTTAGCAGCAAGGAGGCTCAACAGGTCTCAGTTGCTGGCTTAAAGGAATAACAGGCCCATCCGTGCCCCTGGGGCTTCAGAAGCTTCCCCTTTCTAACGATTGTTACAGTCACTTAAGGTTCCCTGCCCTGACTTACAATAATATGTACAGCATTACAGAGGTGGAGGCCACTCTCTGCTGGAAGGTCATTTGGCCATGGTGCAGGAAGATCATCTATGCCTAACCTAAGCTGTGGGATAAAAAGAGTTTGAGGGACTGCTTGCACGCTATTACTTCTTTCTAGTTTTCCTCAATAAACCCTATATCACATCTATACCACTCAAGTGCTAATGGGTCCACGAGGCTTTACAGAGCAACATCCAAAGAGGGTTTAAGCAGGTAAAAAACATAACAAAACTACTTGTCAGATGAACCAAATTAAATATCATCACAAAATAGTTGTAGTACCTTCCTCTTAATAGCTAACCAATCTTTTCCTTCTTGTCTTCAAACATGAATAGTTACTCATCAGCTCACACCATTTACTAGATCCTGTTAGCCTATTAAACTAGGATCTAGCTTCTTCTCACGAAAATGTCTTAAATTATTATTTCAGCTCTTACTCCTACATCAAAATTTTTTTCTCAAGTCTTCAATAAGGCCTTCAAACTAATTCAGTCATTATTCCTCACTGTCCTTATCTTGCTACAGAGCTTGCTATTAGCAACTCCCACCTCAATAAACACTGCATGTTTATCATATGCCAGGGATGAAAAAAACAGTTCTACCCTGATGGGAACACAAACAGTATGTTTCTGTTTTGTTTTTAGCTTTTAAAACTAATTCATTAAGATATAACACACACATATATACATATACATACACACACTAGAGAAGTGCATAAATCATAAGTATACAGCTCAATGAGTACTGCAAAGTAAACAGACCTGTGTAACCATCATTCAGGTAAAGATAATATTACTAGTACCTTTCACACCTCTTCTCATCACTCTCTATCCCTAAAGATAACTGACAAGAGATCTTCACATATTGAGGTATATGGGGTAAGAATTCGGGTACAAAACTGATTCGGCTTGAACTAAAGAAGCCTGATTTATAGCCTATCAAACACAGATTGTGCATCTGCCTTAACCATTACAGTAAAGAATGCACTCTCTTAAAATAAGAACGCATACTTACCCCCCTACGCCCTATCCTTAACGCCTGTATTAGTCCCTTTCCCAACGTCAGGGTCATGTTCACCTGCTAATTCGCAACTGAATACCTCTCTGAAACTTTGATGAATATGTATCCTGGGTGTGTTTAATGTATATTCTTTGTTCTAAAAAGGTCTAAGACTGTACTGAAAACCATGCTTCTCCAGAATGCTTTTTTCCTTTTCAAAAAGGCCTTCCTGGATTATAATCCTCACTCTGGCCCAAGTAAAACTCACACATCTCTCTTATCTATAAAATGGTTATTGGCTATTTCGTGTCAACATAACCAATATGCTGACTTCAATACTATAGATTCATTTTACCTGTTTTAAACATTTATAAAAATGGAATCATAATGTATGGCTTTTTATGCAAATTATGTTTATGAGATTCATCTATAGTTTGTGGTTCTATAGCAGAGGTCAGTAAATCACAGCCCCCAAAGGTCAGTTTGTTTTTGTAAATAGTTTTATTAGAACACAACTACACCCATTTGTTTACATATTGCATATGGCTGCTTCATTGCTACAACAGTAGAGTTGAGAAGTTGCCACAATGGATGACACACCAAGCCTAAAATATTTACCACGTAGCTCTTTACAGAAAAAGCCTGCCCATCCCTGCTTTATGATATTCTATTGTATGATAACACCATAAATTTTGAAAATCCATTCCATTGTTGATGAGCATTTGGGTTCTTTGCAAACTACAGCTATTACAAATAAGGTTGCTATAAATGTTTTTACAAAACACTTCTTTTGGTGAACAGACACACATTTTATTATTTACTAGGAGTGGAACTGCTGATTCAGGTGGCAGGCTTCAACTCAACTCGAGTAGAAAATGCCAAATAGTTTTTCATAGTGGTTGTACCTTTACACATTCCCATTAGCAGTATAGTAAAGCTTCTATTGCTCTACATCCTTATCGACACTTGGTATTGTCAGTTTTTAAAAACTCAGCCATTCTGAAAAGGACCAAACTATGGATATAGACAACTTGGATGGGCCTCAGGGACATTATGATAAAAAAAAAAAACCCCAAAAGGTCACATTCTGCATATGTTTCAATTTATATGACATTCTCAAAATGAAAAAATTATAGAGATGAAGAACAGCTTCATGGTTACCAGTGGTTAGGAATAGTGGAGTGAAGGCAGATGAGAATGAGTCTAATAGCACAAGGGAGATCTTTGTGATGATAAAATACTTCAGTTTCTTGACTGTGATGGCAGTTACATGAATCTACATGTGATAAAATGACATGGAACCATACACACACATGTGATAAGAAATGTCAATTTCCTGGTTTTGATATTGTGCTTTAGTTACGTAAGATATAACCTTTGGAGGGAACTGAGTAAAGGGTACACTGGACTGCTCTGTACTATTTTTCCAACTTCCTGTAAATCTATAATTATCTCAAAATAAAAATTAAAAAATTTTTAAAAAATTTAAAAATTTTAAATATGTAGCCATTCCGGTAGATGTATTTGTTATCTCATCGTGGTTTTAATTTGTATCTCTCTGATTATTAATAATGATGAAAACTTTTAATATATTTTATTTGCATGGCTTCTTTTGTGAGGTGACTATTCAATTCTATTGCTCATCTTTCTAGAGTTGTCTTTCTCTTACTGATTTGTAAGAGTTCTTTATAAAATGTTGTAAATGTCTTCCACTCTGTAACGTGCATTTTCACTCTCTTATGGTGTCTTTTGGTGAAAGGAGGTTCTTCTTTTTAATGTGGTGCATTTTATCAATTATTTCCTTCACTGTGTTATTCCCTGTTTAATAAATCTTTCCCTACTCAAAGATCATGAAGATAGTATCTTATCTTTCAGAAGTTTTATTATTTTGCCTTTCACATTTAGAACTACGATGTATCTAGAATTGATTTTTTGTGTGTATGATACGAGATAAGGGTCAATGTGCACTTGAAAAGGATATTCTGCAGATGTTGGATGCAGTATTTCACTTATGTCAATTAAGCTAAGTTTCTTAACTGCGTTGTTCAAATTTTCCACATCTTTACTTATTTTTCCACGTCTTCTTGCTACATCATGCACCTTTCTTGATAAGAAGAGTGTATTAAAATCTCCGACTATGATTACAAATTTGTCTCTTTGCACTTGTGAATTTTTGTATAATGTATTTTGAGGCTATGTTATTAGATGCATACAGATTAAGAACTATTATATTTTCTGGGGCAACTAAACCTTTTATGATTATAAAATGTCCCTTTTTACCTTGAATAATTCTTTTTGCCTTAAAAATCAACTCTATCAATAGAGTTACACCAGCTTTGTTGTTTAGCATCAATATTTATTTAAATCTATGCATGTATTTAACCTTTCCATTGCTCTTCATTCCTTTCTGTATCTTCAAGCTTCTTTCTGGAATCATTTTCCTCTGCCTAAAAAACTCCCTTTAGTATTTTCTTTAAAGTAGGTCTGTTGAAAATAAATTTTCTCAGTTTTCATGTGTCTGATATTGTTATTTCACCTTCCTTTTTAAACATTTTCATTGAGATATAACTTACATACCATAAAATTATCTATTTTAAGTGTACAAGTCAATTATTGTTTACCTTTATTCTTGAACACTAGTTCCTTTTCAGTACTGTGAGCATATCTTCCCATTGTCTCCTGGCTTCCATCATTTCTGCTGAGAAGTTAGCTGTAAGTCTTACTATTGACGCTTTTAACCTGTCCTTTTTCTCTGGATTTTGTAATTTGTTTTCAGCAGTTCTACCATGAAGGCCTTGATGTGGTTTTCTTTGTGTTTATATTCCCTGAAGTTCTTGAACTTCTTGAATTTTTCCTTTACTATCTTTCATCAGTTTTGGGAAAGTGTCAGTCATAATCTCTTCACATATTACTTCTGCCTTATTCTCTTACTCCTCTCTCTTCTGAGAAGCCAATCAAATGTATTTTAGACCTTTTGACTGTATCTCCTAGGTGTCTTACTCTTTTCTGTATTTTCCATCTTTTCTGCTCCATGCTTCACTCTGGACTTTTCTTTTCACCTATCTTCTAGTTTAG